ACGGACAAGCTCCAGAATTATCGTCCGATCACGCTACTGACATGTACCTACAAGATCATTGCGAGGGTGCTGGCTAATCGGCTTATCTCAAAGGAGCAGTTTGGATTTGTACCTGGACGAAGGTTGGCTGACACAGTGGCGCTAGTGTCAAATGTGATTGGCGCTGCAAAGGAGGGGACGGAGGATTGGTTCTTGCTTTTGGTGGACTTCCAGAAGGCATACGACTCTGTGGACCGAGCGTTTCTGTTCCGAACGTTGGGGGCCATGGGGATTCCCCCCGGGTTTGTCGCATGGGTGGAGGCACTACATCAGGATCAGGTTGCACCTGGAAGGGTGGCTTGGGGATGTGGTGGTAATGGAAAAAGAAGTAAGGCAAGGGTGCCGCTTGGCGCCCTATCTCTTCCTCTGCGTTGTGGAGCCACTTTGCCAAGAAGCGAAGAGGAGGAATATGGGTCTCAATATGAAAGGTTGCGACAAGCTTGCCTACCTTGGATATGCAGATGACACGATATTGGTGTTGAATGGGAGAAGGCAACTGGAGGAAGGTCACCGGCTGCTGACGGACTTTGAAAGCTCCTCGGGGTTGGCCATCGACATGGACAAGTCGGTGCTTATGCCTCTCGGAAAGAACCGAGGGCGTCGTCTGCCGTCTGACGTACAATTCAAGTGGGCTGTACCTGGGGAGGCGGAGTGGCTTTTGGGCATCTGAGTCTCGTCGGATGGCGACCCGCGCCCATCATGGGAGATGGTGTATTAAAGGATGAAAGGATCCCTGAGCACGTGGCAAGCGATGCATCTTACCACCCTCGCAAGAGTCGCGGTATGGCACAGTTACGTGATGCCGATGGCGATGTTCCAGGCACAGGTTCATCCTTCCCGATGACATTTGGAAGCCCCTGCAAACGCTAGGAGATATTTTTGTCTCCGGAGGGAAAGCAACGGATGACAGGGTTTTTACCCTATGGAGTCAAGAGTTGTTGTACTGCCCAAGGAAGGGGGTCTGGGAGTTGTCGACTCGAGGGCGCGGGTAGACAGTTTTGCACTTCGCTCGGTAATGGCGGCTTAGCTGGAAATGGACCCTCTCCGTTGTTGGATCATGGAGAAGGCAGCGTCGCTTCCCCTGGGCTTTGCTTTACTGTATGCACACACAGACGTCTTCAAAAGGTGGAATAGGGGCTGCAGTCGCTGGTTCAAGATAGCTTCTACCTTCGCGCACTCTTGTTTTGCTCAGATTCTGGAGGTCTCATCTCGGTGGGATGCGGAACAGGAGAGGCTTGCGTTCAACAAGCAGATCATGCACAGAGGCAACAGCCCTTTTGCGAACCAGAAAGGTGCAGAGGGGCTTCTGAAGCTTACGATGGAGGATCTGCTGCACAAGGGAGCAGATGGTGTCAGGGCTCTCAAATCGGAAGCCATACTCATCAGGAAGCTGGGCACAAAAACGGCAGCCATGGCACGGAAGGCGTTTGCAGCAATGCCACAGTCCTGGAAGGAGAAAATTTGGAAGCCACTTGGTGTGGAGGAGATAAAAAGTTCAACGACGGTGGTGCAAACCGGAGGGTATAAGTATGGGCCGCACCTATGGGAGATTGTCGAGAGGCTGGGGAATGGTCTACTCTGCAATCTTATAAGGGTAGATGAGTGTCGTCGTATCGTTCGGTTAGAAGACACGTGGTCTGCAGCACTGTTAGCACTGTGAGATGGTGCCTAATCGGTTGAAACAGGGGCGGGTGATTGGCCCCCTGGGCCATTCGAGGACGAGGTTAGTAAGCACGACTATCGAAAGCGGAGGAGCTCCAGCCACTCTCAGTGTGCTGCAGCTAGGCGATACTGTCAAACAACGGTCGTGGGAACAGAGGTGGGGGAAGCCGATAGATTGGAGAAGATGCTGCAAAAGAAGGGACTCGGTGGTGACCCCTCACATGCCCCGTGACGTGCTGCTGAGAATCCACAGTCTCAACCTGCTGGTGGGTGAACAGTTGCGATTCCTCGGTGACAGGGCCAGATGCCCTCACTGCTTGGAGGAGGAGTCGTTGGATCACTGCTTGCATGCCTATCGCCGCATCTATCTTGTCATCATCGCTCTCAAACGTGCGCTCATGTGCATGAAACCATCGAGGAGGGTGGGGTCATTGGGTGACATGCTCTTCCAACCATGCAAGACGGAGTCGGGTTTTCTGGAGGCCACACCCACGGCCATCACGCTGCACCAGATTTGGGTGGAGAGATGTGGGGCAGTTTTCAGGGAGAAAAACTTCCAAAAAAAGAGGGTCCTCAGGAGGATCAATTCGGCTTTCCTGCTACACTCCAAGATCTACATCGTATTGTCGGGCAGGCGAGCAAGGAAAGAGTCAAGAGACATGCAGAGGGGGGGTTCCTATCTGCTGGCGAACGATGAAGCCTTGGTTCTTGGTAGGATACGTGACAGCTCAGTGCCGAGCCTGACGTGGAACCGGCAGTTTGCGTCCATATGGACCAACCCCAGAACGGCTTTCCAGCCTCTGTAGACAGTCAGGAAGGGGGACCTTATCCAAGCATCCTTCTTAGCAGCAGTTACGTCTGTGAATATGTTTTGTACTGTTTCTCTTATAGTACATGTATATTTCTATAAAAAAAAAAAAAAACCAATTAGTGGCTTCGCTCCAGGCCTGTCGTTATCAGGGTATTTTACCCTGATTCCCTGATTTCACAGGGTATTTTTTTGGCCAACCCTTAATTTTCAGGGTTGGGCTTTTTTGAACCCTAACCTCTTCAGGGTTGTATGTCTGTGAACACTGAGAATTTCAGGGTTTGCGTTATCCCAACACTGAGTTTTCAGGGAGTAACGCGTACGGACCCTGAGTGCGACATCCATGTGGCTCACAATGCGGAAATTTAGGCGAAGTCCCCAATCTCCAGAGACATTCCCCCCCACACGCAACAACCTACAAAAATTGGTGAAGTCCTCAAACATTCCCTCACACACCAAGCAACCCACAAAAATCGGCTAAGTCATGTGTCGTACAGACATCCCCCCTACACACTAACAACAACCCACAAAAATTAGCTAAGTCTATGAAAATGTAACGGTCAAGATCGATTGCGATCGTTTCGACATACTTAAACCGTTAGATGGTCACATTGATCAACGTCCAAGATCTCCCAGCCGGGGCGCTGCTAGGGCGCGAATTTTCTCCGACCGCCCTATTACCCAGCTTCCCCCCTCCAATCCACTTCGATTCCTCCCTCCCCTCCATTTTCGCTCCCCCCACTCCCCCTCCGTTTCGTTTCCCCCCTCCCCTCCATTTCGATTCCCCCATCTCCCCTCCGTTTCGCCCCTCGCATCTTGGTTTTGATTCCCTCCCCCTTTCTTCCTTGGTTTCGACTCCCCCTCCCCTCCGTTTCGATCCCCCCTTCCCCTCCGTTTCGATCCCCCCTTCCCCTCCGTTTCGATCCCCCCTTCCCCTCCGTTTCGATCCCCCCTTCCCCTCCGTTTCGATCCCCCCTTCCCCTCCGTTTCAATCCCCCCTTCCCCTCCGTTTCGATCCCCCCTTCCCCTCCGTTTTGATCCCCCCTTCCCCTCCGTTTCGATCCCCCCTTCCCCTCCATTTCGATCCCCCCTTCCCCTCCGTTTCGATCCCCCCTTCCCCTCCGTTTCGCTTCTCCCATACCTCGACTGTATTTCGAACTTCCCCCACCCCCCAACCCCCACTTTTTCCCTCCCCGTTTCGCTTCCTCTCTTCCCCTATGTTTCCATCCTCCCCTTCCCCTCCGTTTCGCTCTCCCCCTCCCCTCGGTTTGATTCCCTCCCCTTTTTCCCCCCATTTTTTATTCCCCCCTCGTGTTGAAGGCAACCCTGAACGCGCTCGGTGAACCCTGGGATTTTCAGGGTTCCAGATTTCTGAACCCTTACAAATCAGGGTAGGCAAGTTTTGAAACCTGAGCCCTCAGGGTAAACTTTTTTTTTTATTCGACAGCTCAGGGGGTTTTTTTTGAAACGTCAGCCCTGCTTCGCTCTTCTTCGCAAGCTATCTCGCATAATATTTCGCCACTGGACAATCAAATGCAACTCTCGATGCTCAACCCAAATCGACAAACTTGTCATTGTTGCGTTACGAGTAGCTGCGCTTTCACGATGCAGCAATGTGTGGTACAAAACAATTATTCAGCATTAGGACGTGGCTCGACAAGCAAATTAACATTATTATATAAATTCTTTCGGTATTTTCAGGATTTCTAAACGAAAAAACTTGTATAATCTCATACGTGCATACAAGAAACTGAAATTTCAGACGAAAGGGCAATCAGACTTTGAATTTATTGGAAAGACAATACTGATGGGAAGTTAACACTATTTAAGTGTAAACAGTGATGAAAAGTAGGGAAACAAACATCAATGCACTTGATAGTTCGTAGGGTAGAAAGAAATTGCTTATAGACACGCTCATTCTGTACTCAACTTCTGTGCTATTTCGCATCTGGACGGGCTTCCTCTCCCTTCATCGCATCGCGAGTTGTCGGGCGATTTCGCCCGAAGGTGGACGAACGATTTACAGGGGGCCAGGCGAATTGTACAAGCACGGGTAACCGCTGCGGGAAACAGCGGAATTTACAGCCTAGGTTGATTGCATGGCGCGTGGCGGACTGTGTCTTTGGTTGGTTGGTTGACTTCTCCGCCAGCGCCAGGCCTTGCCTGCTTGCACTGCGGTGTCGTGTCACCCTCCACAAGAGCGGGAACTTCGTTCCCCCCAGGACGCGTTGGCTGTGAGCGACGCGTCTCTCTTTCGGCCGTACCAGCCCAGGGTGGTGCGGGGGACTTGGCGCTGTCGCAGAGCGACGCAGGGCGATTTTGCTGGAAATGTCGCATTGGTTGGGCTTGCCAGCTAGAGAGAGCGCGGCGCGGTAATCAAGTCAAGGTGTGGAAGATGAAGCAAGAAAAGCAACCAGCGCCCATCATCGCGAAAGGCGGGCGAGAGCAGGATCACTTTCCACAAGGCCAAATGCCCACAATTATTTCCCACAGCTACTCACAAAGCTCACGACGACCCTCAAATAATGGTCTCTGTTTCTCTGCTGCTGCTAGACCCAGCAACGATGCACACGTGAAACAGACAACCACTTTACTAGAGTGCGCTATTTCTTCTTGCTCAGCAGTTGGAGGTGGAGGAGTGTCACTGTCTATCGCCGAATGTTGTGTGTGTACGCTTTGTCGTGCCGACCAGCCGTCAAGCCCGCCTTATCGTCCCGGCTGTGCCAAAAAGATTCCTGCATTTGTTAAGTAGCTCATTGCCCCTTCGAGAGCGTTGGAAACATTAGGTCAAGCGCGTGAACTGGTGGAGAGGCCAGCGCCTTGGAGGCACGCACAGAGGATGGAACGCGACTGGGCGTGGCTGCAGCCGTCGTGGGCGCAGCTGGAGTCGTGGCAGCAGCGGCAGCAGCAGGCGGAAGCGGACTGCGGCAGTTGGAACAGCAGCGCCGCGTGCAGCTGCTGCGGCCACAGCAGCAGCTCTACTCGCAGCGACGGCGAGTGGTTGTCGGGCGCGCCGTCGTTCGACGACACGTGGCCGGAGCAGGTACTGCGTCCCAAGTCACCTTCTTGGCCACCTGCGATTTTGTTTTCCTCGTGCCGTGCGAGGCCCAAGATTCAGTCAATCGCTGCCGCCAAGTGGCCGAGTCCATGCGTCGCTGGCTGTTCTCGCGCGGTCGTTCTCACTGCTCTTCTCTGTGCCACTCCCCTCCTCCCCCCTCCCGACATGGCCTTCCGCACCACCACCCCCACGCCCACGCTCAGGTCGTGCTCGTGCCCACTCGTTTCGGCCCCCTGCGCGTGACTATATCGGGCGACCGCCGCAATCACCCGCTCCTCACGTATCACGACATCGCCCTCGATCGTAAGCGCGCCCTACTGCCCTGTCCCCCGCTCCTTTCCACAAGCCTCTCGTCTCTTCCCTGCTCCGACTGGCCACACTCCGCCTATCCCCATCCGCTGCTAGCTTTTGTTCTCCCCGCCACTCGCCTCGTGACCAGCGCCCCTAGCGCTCTCAAATGCCACCCGACGACCCCTTCTCCCGCTCTCCCTTCCCACGCCTCTCCGCTAGCCCTTTCCGCTTCCTCCTTTCCGCTTCCTCCTTTCCCACGTCCCCACCCCCTCTTCCGCCTCTCCCTGCCCGTCTGCACGTCCCACTATCTGCGCGCGCAGACGCGTCGTGCTTCGGGGCGCTTTTCCGGTGTCCCGACACCGCGCCGCTGCTACGGCAGCACTTCTGCGTCTTCCACGTGGACGCGCCGGGCCACGAGGTGAGCACACATCGTACGGGGTGCCGCCGCAGAAGGCTGCTTGGCGGAGCCGTTGCGCATTGCTCGCTCCGCCCGCCTGATGCATGCGCCCTGCTCATTGCTCCCCGTTTTCTCGCCAAATGAACCCCTCCTCTCCGCATGTCTCTTCCCCGTGTCGTCCTCCCGCCCCCCGTTCCCCTCTTCCCTGGGCGTGCGCCAGGTGGGAGCGACCTCAGGGCGGCAGCAGCGAAGAAAGCTGACGGCTGATGACCTGGCAGAACAAGTCGCTGACGTCATCTCACATTTCAGGTAAGGCGCAGGCTCCGCTGTGGCTGGTGGTACCATGGTGCGCCCCATGGTTTATCCTTTGCGCCTTGCTCTGCTCGCACTGCTTCGCCCTGCGCACGCTCCTCCCTCATTCCTGCTGGCATCCACCATCCTCCTAACCGCGCTGTGTTCCCCTGCCGCTCCCCCGCGCTCCTCGTGTGCGCAGTCTGCCCGCAGTGACGTGCCTTGGCGTGACAGCAGGCGCGTACATACTCACACTGCTCGCGGTGAGCAACAGTCTTCATTTGTTGAAGAAGCATCTGTTTCTGGGAAAAAAATGCCCAAGAACATGAACTAGATTTACAGTCTCTTTAGGCCAAGTTCACCCCCGTGCACGGCACTGATGCACGGGAAGCAGCCGCAACTACTGCTCATCCCGCGGCCTTACCCCCTTGCCTCGTTACCCTGCCCTACCCGCCCTGCACGTGTGTCCCGTCCCCTGCGCCGCATCAGATCAAGCGGCCAGCGCTGGTGCGGTCGCTCATCCTCGTGTCGCCAGTGTGCCGCACGCCCACGTGGAGCGAGTGGGCCTTCAACAAGGTGCGCCCTTGCCGCTCCCCCATGGCCCGCTGCCTCTTTCACACCCCCCCACCAACTCTGCACAGTCACTGCACCAGTTCCGCACCCATCTCACCGCAATCTCTCCCTTCCTCGCCTTCCTCGCCTCATACCCAAGCGCCCCTTGACCCCCCCCCCTGGCGTGCGTGCAGTTCCTACTGTCGGTGCTGTCGCTGTATGGGCTGTCCGCCGTCGTCGCCGGTGCCTTCTCCGGCAGATACCTCTCACCACGCCCCCATGGCCAGGTGAGCTGCTGCTCCTGGGCACGCCATGCCATGCCACGCCATGACATGCCTGTCACACACATGGTGCGAGCTCACACTGCATGCCATGCTGACGCGCGCCCCATTCTAACAGACTGCATGCACGCCACGGCGGGTGCTTCTCTGCCCTGTGCTGTTTGTGCGTGCGTGCAGGGTTTGGCCGACGTCACACACGTGCCGGACCTCTCGCCTCAATCGCCACCGTCACAGCCCCCCCACCAGGTACACCACTCACCACTCCCCCCCGACCCCTCCCCTCATCCCCATCCACTCCCTTGCCCCACCGCTGCTCTGGTTCGCATCCACGTACTCGCCTGGCTGACGTGCAGCACCCTGTGTTGGCCCATGTGGTGGTGCGTGGGCTTTGGTGCGTGCAGGGCGCAGAGGAGGCGGAGGAGAGGGACCCCCACGCCGTGGCGCAGTACGCCGACGCCTTCAACAAGTGAGACTGCTGGGCCCCTGCACCTTGATTCACAGCCCCACGCCAAGCCGCACACACTCACACTACCGTTTTCAACCGACCCGTCAGAAGCTTGCCCTGCTTTTGAGGCGCCTCAAAAGCATTCAACCGACCCCTCTGAAGCTTGCCCTGTGTCGCAGCCCTCCCTCCCCTCACCGCGCTTCCATCCTCTCCGCTCCTCCCCCCCTCTTTCCCACTCACCCCGTCCCTGCACGTCGCCTGCACCTGTGTGCTGCCATGGCGTGGTGTGCAGCCGGCGGGACATCACAGAGGCGGTGCAGTGCATCGCGTGCCCTGTGCTCGTGCTGGTGGGCGAGCACTCGGCGTTCCGCGACGACGCCATGCACCTGCACGCACACCTGCCGCCGCACCTCGCCGCCTGGTTCCAGGTGCGCACACCCTGCTCTCCTCCTCGCCCGGCTCATCTCTTTAACGCCCCGCACGTGTACTCAGGCTGCTAGTGCTCATCTTCATCATGGCTTTTCCTCCCCCCGCCTTCACCTAGCAGCCACGTGCCGTGACAGGGACACACACACACAAGCACACGTACCACACTACCACACGCACCTCACATGCACGTGCCCAGACCCACACATCGTGTGTTTCTTTGTCTCTGGTGCCCCCTCACCCCCCGCCCTCGCCACGGCCCCAGGTGCCCTCAAGCGGGTCGCTCATCACGGTGGAGTGCCCCCACCGCCTGTGCACCCCCCTCGACAAGTTCCTACGCACCGCAGGCTACTCCTGCCCGCCCTGCTCGCCCCCACTCCCCTCCGCCCTGCCCTCCTCCTCCTGCCCACCCCCCTTCGTGCATGCCTCCCCCCTCCCCCTCCCCTGGGCGTCCTCCCTGCCCCCTCGCTCCGCCATACAGTACCGGCCGCACTCGTGCATGCCGCTCTCCCTGCAACACTACGACCCCTTACAACCCTACTCCCTCTCCTCCTCCTCCTCCCCCTCCTCCAGCGACTCTCCTCATGCCTCCTCCACCACCTCTTCCTCCTACTCCTCCCTCTCCCACTCCTCCTGTGTCTGCCTGTCCCCCCCATCCCCCTCGTCGTCCACGTGCCACTCCCCCCAGCCGTCCTTCCGCCCCGAGGACCTGTCCCTGGACGCCATAGGCCGCACGCTCAAGCCCATTCGCACGCGCATACACCCCGAGGTGGCAGGCGTGAGCAAGGGGCTGCCTCAAGGGAAGCCGGTGTGGTGCTGATGCTAATGTGCCTTGCGAGTGGCAGTTCCAAGCGTGGGTGCTGGTAATGTGGCAGCGAGCAGTTACAGTTGAGGGGTAAGGGCAGAAAGGTAGGATTTACTAAGGTGCACGGGCTTCCTGCTGTTCAGAGTGTGAAGCTCAAGGGGCTAGGTGCATGAGCACGGCAACAGCAGTTACCGAGAGTAGGAGCTTGCGCACAGTCGTGTGAGTAGGATGTGAGCACATGCTGTGTGAACTGCAGCCACTAGCAGCGGCATAAAGCCTCTTGCTGCTGCTGCCTCGCATGACTAGATGCCAGTAGGTGCTTTGTGAGCGGGCTAGCTCGAGCAGCTCATTCATTTGAATACACAAGCGTTTACAACCATGCATGATATTGTCACCACAAGAAGCAGCTAAGCACTGGCAGCACTGAACAAGCAGCTCATGGTGTGGGGCGGTGCCATGGGATGGGAGCATCAGAAGCGGAACCACGACTCTCCTCCACCCCACAGCCCACCCTGCCTGTGCCCCTCCGTGCTCTCCACTGTCTCTTGGTACGTGCGCCTTGCTTCCTCCATGCTCGCGCTGCCGCGCAGCAGCGCTGCCCTGCGCGCGCCAGCAGGGTGCGTGGACATGAAGTCGCCCCACCCCGCCGTGCCCGCCCCCTCCGGTGCACGTGGTGGCCCTCGCTCCTTGCCACTGCTCGCATGGTCCAACATTTCGTACACGCCTATCGGGGGGGTGGGAGGGGAGGGGGGAGAGAAGAGGGGGTTGGGAGAGAGGGAGGGTGGCGTGCGGCACACGGAGTGGCAGCATGTTACTTGGAGGGCGAGAGAGCGTGAGAGCATGTCAATATCACATGACCCACTCCATGCCGGAACAGGGCGGAGTAACAAGGCCAGAATGGTATGACAGCAGCACATGGCAGCACAGCAGCGCATGGCAGCACAACAGTGTGTAGTGGCATCTCACCCGGCGCAGCGTCGGGGTTGTACCCGGCCTTGGCCATGAGCATGAGCCCGATGCGGTCCGCCTCTAGCTCGTGCCTGCACACACCACAGGGCACAGGGTACAAGGGGGCAGTTGAGGGCAGGAAGGAGAAGGGCTGGGCAGAGCGATACAGACAGAGACATGAGGACTGGGGAGGGGAGAAGGGGGATCAATCGAAAGGGAGAGTAAGGGAGGGGGATAGGGCATGGGCGCATGGAGCAGATCAGGTGGGCGCAGAAGGTACGGAGGTGGTACATGCGGGAGAAGGGAAGGGAGATGAGGAGGTCGGATGCGGTGCGGATGAAGCCGGGCCAGCTGAGCACGAAGTTGACAATGAACAGCTGCACCGCCGCCACCAGCATCGCACTGCTCATGCGCTCCGCCCCGTGCCGCGCCACTATGTGTGCCACCTGGGGGGAAGGGGAGAGGGAGGACGGGGGACAGGAGACAGCGGTAAGGGGGCGAGACAGAATGGGGGAGAAGGGAAGAGGCCAAGCGGGTGCAGGGAAAGGGAGGAAGCGGAGAGGAGGAGGCGAGAGAAACAGAAGGGATGCAGTTGGATGGATAATGGAAAGACATGAGAGCACGGTGCGCAACACGCATGGCATGCAGGCATGCGGGGACAGCATGCATGCCCCCATGCGACCGACCTCATGGCCGATGACGGTGGCGAGCTGGCTGTCGTCAGGGCAGCGCTTGAGCAGCCCCGAAAAGACCACCACCTTGCCACTCGGCAGGCAGAAGGCGTTCAGCACCGGCGCGTCCACCACCGCCACCTGGGAGTGCGGGGGGAGTGGGGGGGGGAGAGACGCAATGGACAGAAAGGGGGGGGGAAGGCAGGGAGGAGCACAGGCTGAGAGGGCACATTGAGAGGGCAGCAAACGGGTCGGATAGTGGTGTGAGAGAGAGAGTGAGAGAGCAGGAGCTGGCCACCGCATGCCATGATGCCATGGAAATAACATCATGCCATCATCATGCCATCATCATGCCATCATCATGCCATCATCATGCCATCATCATGCCATCACCTGCCATCACCTGCCATCACCTGCCATCACCTGCCATCACCTGCCATCACCTGCCATCACCTGCCATGTGAGTCCCTTCAAGTGCTCCTCGAATGGCCGACCTTCGCCCCGTGCGGCCTGCGCTTGTCTGCAGCATGGCATGCATGGGCGGGGCAGTGGCACCGCATGAGTGCATGACAGGGCGCACAGCCACATGCATTCTCAGGCGCATGCATGTGTGCGGTGAAGTACGCAGCGGCAGTGCACGCACATGCAGGGCAGGGCACTCACCGCTGCTGCTTGTCCAGCCACTCGCTGTCCTCCAGCAACGCATCCCCATGACCCCCCCCACCACCGCCCTCCCCTGCTCCCCCCGACCCCCCCTCTGCCCCGGCCTGCTTTCCCCCATTCTCTCCCCCCCCCAAAGCACCAGAGGGCGAGGGGGTGGAGATGGGGTGGTGCGAGGGGTGGTTGGAGGAGGGGGAGAGCGGGCAGTACTCAACAAGTGGGGGTTTGCCCTGGGGGGGAGGGGAAGGAAGGAGGAAAGAGTGGAAGAGGGAAGGTGGGATGGCGGACAATGGGGAGGGGGAGTGGAATCACCCCCATCCCACCCATGCATGTGCCCCTTTGTTGTTGAACTAGCCTACTTCTGCATGCCACCATCATGTCACGCACACACAGCACGCCACTATACCGGGTCAACGTGTTCCGTGGTGGCCTGAATGATCTTGGTTGCCACGTGGCGCACTCTCAGCGCCTCTGCTGATGTGGATGGCAGCAGGCGGTCGCGGTGCTGCTCCCGCACCTTGGAGGTCACGGGGATGGGCGGAGGGGGAAGGGCGGAGGGGGGAAGCGGGACAAAATGGGCAGAGGGGGAAGTGTTGGAGAGGGAGGGGCAGGGCGTGGCAGCAACTGCATGTGGGCACGAGGCACTGGGAGGGAAGGAGGCGGAGCATGTTGGCATAGTGCGTGCAACGAGTGTGCATGGGCGCGGTGGGCGTGCGCGGGGTATGACCTGTTGGAAGGCCTCTTCGCCGATGCGTTTCTCCTGCGCCACTGACAGCAGCACCCAGTGCCGCCGCTGCGTGTACGGCACCTCTTGCACGTGGCTCACGTACACCCACGCCACCGCGCCCCCCGCCACCCCCACCACCGCCAGCGCCACCTCGGGGGACACGCGCCGCCCCCCGCCCCCGTGCGCGGAGTGCTTGGAGGAGGCCTGTGCCAGCCACGAGAGCGCCCCCCGCCGCTGGAAGTGCCGCAAGCCGTGCCGGTCCACGTACCACTCCGCCTCCCTCCCCCGTGCCACCCCCCCGCCCCCTCCCCCGCTGCCGCCAGCGCTAGAGGCGGAGAATCGGCGCGTCGCGAGCAGTACGACGGGACCACAGCCGCCCCCGTTGGCGCTGCTCGCATTGCCCCCGCCACCGGCGGCCCTTCCCGCACCGCCCGCAGCGGGGTGGCGGCTGGGAGAAACAAGGGCCCGCCACCACTGGCCGGCACCAGCGGGGGTGTGGGAACCGCGCAAAGTGCGCGCCGTGCTGCTGCTGATAGTGGTGGTCGTGGTGGTGGCGCTGCTGCTGCTGCTGCGGGAGCCCTCCCTGCCGCTGGTTGCGGCCGAGCGGCGGAGGGAAAAGAAAAAGTACGAGGCGGCTCGACGCATGGTGGGGTTGGAGTGCGCGACGATGGGGGAGGGAGACGCGTGCGCGGCGGGCAAGCGCGCGGGCGAAAGCGGATGGCGTGGGCGGGATGGAGCAGAGAGCGAGGCGCGTGAAAGAGAATCGCGGAGAGGAGAGCGGTAGGTGGGCGAGGAGCCGCACAGCGGTGGTCTGCTGCCGGACGCAGCCTGACTTGGCGGCGCGCTGATTAGCAGAGCATGATTGGCTTTTTCTGGGGTGGGATCGCGGGGGCTAATTAGGGGTGCATGGTGGGGCGGGTGGGGATGGGAGCTTTGGAGCAGGAGTTGCTTCACTATGCAGGTCAGCTGAATGACTCGTTATTGCGCAAGCTAGTATACGAACGATGCTAACAGAGAAAAGAGATTCTCACACAAAGGAGGTAAAATAACCAATGATAAACCACATCTAGTTGTTGACTATTATCATGCCTCGTTCGATGAGCTACCTTGAACGCTAGTCTACGGAATATAAATCAATAAATACATTAAATGGACTGTTGTGTCGTTGTAATGCGAGCGGGTTTGTTGGGTGGCGTCTAGTCCGGTCTGGCTACGGCAAGCGGAGGATGCACAGCGCAGATGCGAATGGGATGCACGAAACATACAAGGGCCTCCTGGTCCTGGCATGGCATGGCGTGATGGCCATGGCACCGTGGTCCATGTACGCCATGGCCATGCGGCGCGCAGCAGCTGAGGGATGCACACTGGTGCTGTGGTGCAGGGCGTGGAGAAGCCAGCATCAGGTGGTGGAGTGAGGCAGCTCCAGCGGCTGGGAGAGCGCCTGCATCCAGGGATGGGCTGGAGGCGAGGCAGAGGGGCGATGGCAAGGGGAAGCAACGTAATAGTATGAGGCCATAGTCGGACAGGCAAAGCACACGCAAACCTTGCCAGCAGTCACGGATCCTCAATGGACTCACCCTCCTCTCCCACGCTCTCCCTACCCCTCGCCCTCACTACCCCCTCGCTCTCATTCCCTCAACGCCCTCACTACCCTCCTGCTCACCCAGGATGCCATCTGCCGTGATCCTGGCGTCGCGGTTGCGTGTGAGCATGCAGCGCAGCAGGTGCTTGACGGCGTCACTGCGCGTGCGCCAGGTGTCGGCCTTGAAGCGCAGGTGGCAGTCCAGGATGGCTTGCAGGATGCCCTCCTCGCTCTTGTCCCAGAACGGCGGCACGCCCGACAGCAGCACGTACAGCACCACGCCCGCGCTCCAGATGTCCGCCTCCGCGCCGTAACGCCCCTCGATCACCTCGGGCGCCATGTAGTAGTGCGACCCCACAAACTCTGTCAGGTCCGCCGCTGCCAAGGGAGGGGGAAGGGGGGGGGAACGGTGTGGGGAATGGAAGGTTGAATGGGTGTTGGTGCCATGGTGCGTGCTGCTGTTGGGAGGGCAGGGCAGGCACTGATGAAGAGAAGTGGAAGGCACTGACAGGGCTTGAGGAGGGCACTGCCAGGGCTTGAGGAGGGCACTGCCAGGGCTTGAGGAGGGCACTGCCAGGGCTTGAGGAGGGCACTGCCAGGGCTTGAGGAGGGCACTGACAGGGCTTGAGGAGGGCACTGCCAGGGCTTGAGGAGGGCACTGCCAGGGCTTGAGGAGGGCACTGACAGGGCTTGAGGAGGGCACTGCCAGGGCTTGAGGAGGGCACTGACAGGGCTTGAGGAGGGCACTGCCAGGGCTTGAGGAGGGCACTGACAGGGCTTGAGGAGGGCACTGCCAGGGCTTGAGGAGGGCACTGACAGGGCTTGAGGAGGGCACTGCCAGGGCTTGAGGAGGGCACTGACAGGGCTTGAGGAGGGCACTGACAGGGCTTGAGGAAGGCAGCGACGCCGAAGTCGATGAGCTTGATGTCGGTGTGGGAGCGCTTGGAGGTGAGCAGGATGTTCTCGGGCTTGACGTCGCGGTGCACCACACCCATGGCGTGGCAGCGCTGCAGCACGCCCACCAGCGTGCGCAGCAGCACGGCCGCCTCGCGCTCGCTGTACATGCCCTTGAGCTTGAGGCGGTCAAACAGCTCGCCGCCGCGGCACAGCTCCATTACCAGATGCACCTCCTGCCGCACACACGCACGGGCCAGGGGAGGGGGATGCAGGGGGCGCAGCAGAGGAGGCAGACGTGAGCGAGGGAAGAGAGGCAGGCATGCTCAATGATGCAGCACAATAAGGCGATGAGCATTGATGCAGCATGGCAAGGCGATGGTAGCATGCAGGGCCCACCCCCCACCTGGTCATCCTCGAAGGTGTCGTAGAGGCGCGCCACGTGCGGGTGGTCCCTCAGCAGCTCCAGAATGGCCACCTCGCGCCGGATGTCGTCCGCATCCGCCTTGCTCTGCCGCCACCACCAGGAAGAGGGGGGGAGTGTGGGGGGGGGGGTGGAAAGAGGATAGAAAATTACTGAGTGGGGGAGATAGTGGATGAGAGTGTGAGTGAGAGAGGGGGCATGAGAGTGCATCTGGTTGATAGTTTGCGCGGGAGAGGGAAGAGGGAGGGGTAAGTGATTCGAGAGGATGACTCTTAGGATGGAAGGTGCGAGGGGCACCTTGAGGCAGTGCTTGCTGATGCTCTTGCAGGCGAACTTCTCTCCGCTCTGCCTGTGCTGCGCCACGCGGATGACTCCGAACTGCCCGCTTCCCAGCTGCAGGTCCATGTGGATGCGGTACGCCTCGTGCACGCTCGACAGCCCTCGCCGCAGCACCTCCACACTGCCGCCCCGCCCCAGCTTCTGCTTCGCCCGGGGTACCTTGCCACTCTTCCCACTCTTCCCACCTCCCTTCCCACCTCCCTTCCCACCTCCCTTCCCACCAGTTTTGCCACCTCCCTTGTCGCGTGCGTCATTGCCTGCCTCGTCACTGTGCACTGTGTGTGCATCAGCATGTGTGGCGCTGTTGCCTGTGGCTGCACCGCACGCAGCAGCAGTGGCATCAGGGCATGCTTCACCTTCAGCCGCACCACGTGCACAGCCACTCTGTGGCTGCTCATCGCCCCCCACTACCCCTCCTGCCCCTGCCACTTCGCCCTGAGCCCCCCCCCATATCTCTGCTGCCTCCTCGCTGCCGCCCTGCCCCCATGCCCCGCCATCCCCATTTGCGCCCCCCACCAGCTCCTCCAGGTCCCCACTGCCACCCGCACTGCCATGTGCGCCCCTGTCACCACCAACGCTGCCGCTGCCACTGCTGCTGCGTGTGCGGCTCTTTCTCTTGCTGGCCTTGCCCCCCCCAGCTCGCTCTGACCGCAGGGCCGTCTGAAAGCCATCGCTTGGCATCTTCACCAGCCGCCGCTCGCACCCGCTGCCCCCCCACCCCTGCCCTCCTTGCCCCCCCTCCCCCCCGTCATCCCGCTGCTCTGTTCCTGCCGCACTGCCCACCCCCCCTTGCTGCCGTGCTGCCTGCCCCTCGAAACTCTTTGCCATACCCGCTGCATGCTCCTCCTCCTCACACAACACTCCTGCCAGCCCTGACAGGTGCTGCGCAGCACAGGGAACAGCAGCAGCGGCAGCAGCAGCAGCAGCAGCAGCAGCACCGGTAGAGGCGGAGTGGGAGGCGGCGGCAGTGGCGAGCAGGTCGGCAAGCAGGGAGGAGTTGGCAGTGATGGCGGCCATGCTGCTGCTCCACCGCACCACCCTGCTGCTGCCCATGGGCTGCCACGGGGCTGTGGGTTGGGCGGGCGGAGGGGTAAGCGGTGAGGCAGCATGGGGAGAGACAGCAGAGGGCAAGGGCGATAGGGGAGGGGTGCATGGGTGTGCATGAGCGTGGCCTGTACTGCCACTTCTCGCCACGCTGTCGCTCTCCTCCTCCCCATCCTCATCCACTTTCTTCTCCTCGACTTCCCCCTGCCACTCTCCCCCCATCCCATGTCTCTCTTGCTTCAGCTGCCTCAGCTTCCTGCCGCCTCGTCCTCCACCTCCCCCACCGAGCCCCTGCTGCATGCCACCACGCGCAGCAGCGCCATCACTCGCCCCCTCACAGCCAGCGTGCGGCTCAGCAGTGGCGGCATGGCCGTACAGGTCCATGGCGCACACGCCAATGCCCACCGCATGCCCCTCCTGCTGCCCGCCATCCCCCTCCTGCTGCCCGCCATCCCCCTCACCTGCCTCCCTTCCCTTACCAGTGCACGTCTGCTCCGCGCCTGCCTGACTCTCCCCGTCTCCTCTCTCCTCGCCTTCCTCCACGTGAGCCAACCCACCCCGCGCCCGACCCTCCCTGCCCTCCCTGCCCTTGCCCTTCCCCCGTGGCAGCGTGAGTGGGCCGGAGGCAGAGGATGCTGAGGAGGAGGGCGAGGGGGAGGAGAAGGAGGAGCACGGGGACGCGAGGGGGGCGAGGCCTGGAGGGAGAAGGTTGAAAGGGCTGCCTGCAGTGCTGGGCGACGCTGCTCCACCCTGCAGGTGCACGTCTGGTGTGTGAGACGGAGGAGCAGCAGCATGAGGCGTTGCCGCACAAGTGGTGTCGGCGCAAGAGGGAGCGCTGCCCCGAGCGCCATGGGCAGCAGGGCCCACCTCCCACAGCATCTCGCTCACCTTGTGCATGCCCATGCCCATGCTGCCCCCCACCGCCCGCACTAGCCTCACTCGCCCCCCCACCCCTCCCTGCCCTGCCGCCGCCGTTGCTGCTTCTGAGGCCGTGGGAGAGAGGAGAGGAGAGCTACTGGCAGCATCGCCCCACGTGCCCGTGCCCGCTGCTGTGCCCACACTTGCTGCTCCCGCCTCGCCTCCCTCTTCTGCCTGCGCCGCCTGTGCGGATGCCAGCCCCGACGCCAGAGAGGTCCACCTGGCGAGCCCGTGGACGGTGGGATGCTGCCTGCCGCGCCCCATCTGCCGCTGCACCTCCAACGCCCATGCCTTCTCCTTCTCCCCCTCCTCCTCACTCCCCTCCCTCGCCTCCCCGTCCCCTCTCCCCCCCTCCATCTGCCTGTCCTTCCCCCCCACCCAGCTCCGTGCCCGTGCATGCTTCTGTGCCTGCCGATCCCTCTCCCGCTCCCACTCACTCTCCAGGTCACTGCGCTCCTCCGCCCCTCTATGCCTTGGCCCACCAGCCCCTTTTGCACCACCGCTCGTGCCACTTCCCTTAGAGGCGCCCCACATACCCTTTAGCATCACCTCCCCTGCAAACCCGCCCCCCCCTGCCATGCCACCCCACGCCGCTCCACTCTCTTCCGCCCCTGCCCCTGCGCCCCCTCCTCGCTCCCCCGTGTGCACCCAGTGGGCCAGGTCCATGCCCCCTGCGTGCATGTGCGCCCCCATGCTCACCGCCTCACTCACGCCTCGCCTCAGCCTGCCCGCCCTGCTGCCCGGCCCCACACCCCCTGATCCCAGCGCAGCAATTGCGGCGTCCCAGCCCCCTTCAGCAGCAACGGCAGGGGTGGCGAAAGGGCTGATGGGTGCACGGGGTGCTGCAGCCTCTGGGAACAAGTCGCCCTCCATGCCTCCGCTGCTACCCCTCCCTCCTCCCCTCTTGCTCCCCCCTTCATCCAGCAGCTCCGTTCGGTGCCGCCGGTGCTGCTGCTTACCCCCCTTGCCTGCACTGCCCGCCCTCTCCCCTCTCCCCGCCTTGCCCGCTGCCTGCAACCCCACGTTTTCCATAAAGCCCGCGCCAACAGTAACTTCCTCAGCGCTGTTCCCCCTGTTGCCGCCCTCCCTCCTGTGCGTGCCCACTGGCTTAAGCCCACTGCTGGGGCCACTGCCCCCATTGCCCTCGGGCACTGCTGCTATGCTGTCCACGCTCTTGCCCTTCTTCCGCACCTTCTTCTTCCCCTCCTTCTTCTCCATCCTCTCCTCCTGCCCTCCCTCGCCCACCTCCCTTGCGCCATCGCCACTTCTCCCCCCTCGCCCATCCCAGCCCACATCACTAGACCCCTCACACGCCATCCCGTGCCCGTGTGCGGTTGCACCCACCCCTTCCAACCCCACATCCCGCACGCCATTCGCCCTCCTCACCACCGTTCTTTCACCCGCCCAGATCTCCCCATCGCCACGCGTCTGTGCCATGGCGTGCCCCCTTCCTTCCTCTGCTGCGTCCCCATACAAGTCCTGCTCCCCCGCGCTGCCTGCACCGCCACCGGATGCAGTGGGCAGGACGGGCCCGGGCGGGGTGGGGGCGGCCATGAGGCGTGTCAGCTCCACGGCGCCCAGGCTCTTGCCCGCACGCCCCAGCCTGCTGCTCCGCGCCTTCCCACCCTCTGCCATACGGGTGGGGCTACCCGCGCTCGCAGGCATGGCTGGGGCCCTCTGGGAGCTTGTCCCGCTGCGTGCATGGGCAGCAGAGTTGGTGAGAGCGTGGGCTCGGCCTTTCTGTTCCCTTACATGGGGTGGCATCGGAGTGGCAGCAGTGGCGTTATGGTCCGGTGTGAAGGGCAGCGACGCCGGGAAGGCCATGCTCCTCGTGCGACGGGACGATGACAGCCCAGACCTGCCTCGCCCCCTGCTTCCCTCCACTCCCTCACTCTCTTCTCCTGCTGCTGCCCCTAATCTCCCTCCACCCACTCCATCCACCACCCCAACTGCCTCTCCTCCTTCCCCACCTCCTGCGGCAGCTGCGTCTGCTAGCTCCAGCCCCTGATCTCGCACGGCACGAGCACTTCCCGTGAGCCATGCGCCCTCGCCCACCTCCCCATCCGCCTCCGTGACTGCTGGCAGGCGTGCGTCCATACCTATCTCCAGGCTCGCTGACTTGCGCCACGCAGCCGGCCCGCCGCCCTGCTCGCTGCGCTGCTGCTGCAGCAGCGAACGCCGCAGCACAGAGGCGTGCAGGGAGGAGGAGAGCAGGGGCAGAGGGGGGGATCGATTGGGGGGAGTGCAGGAAAGGGAGTGTGGCGGAGAGGAGGACAGCGAGTGTGGGAGGAGGTGCAGGTTGGGGGGGAGGCTGCCCTGCCTGTGGTGGCGCGACAGCATTGTGGGCAGGGGACTAAGCGTGGGGGATGCTGGAGCTGCCGCATGCCCACCTGCCCGCCCACCATGCTCGCCCTCCACTCCCTCCTCCCCGCACTGCTCCTCCTCCCTCTGCAATCTTTTGCCCTTCCTTCCCTGCCCACTCCCACCTGACCCTGTCCGCCCATGCCTGTGCGCTGCATGCCCATCACCCCTCTGCTGCCGTCCCCCCATGCGCCCTGCCACAGGCACTCCCTCGGCCGGTGTGCCTTCCTGGGAGGCGCCCTCAATGCTGGACACTGACGCTGACCGCGCATGCCTCCCTGCGCGCCGCCTGCTGCCCTCGCCCTCGCCCTCCCCACCCACTCTGCCTGCTCTGCCCGGGCAGGCAGGCGGCTTGGGCAGGCCGCCATGGGCCTGGGCACACCCGTGACCCGCACCTTGGCCCATGCCGTCCCCTTGGCCTTGCCCCCGCTGCTCCCCGTGTCTTGAGTCCGAAGACAAGCCACCATCGCCCCACCCACCCGCGCTGCCCCGAGCTGCCAGCCCTGTGGGCGCTGCTGTGCTCCCGACAGGCGCTGATGGGGACGAAGGGGCAGCATGCACGCGGTGCATGGCAGGGTGGCGCGGGGACTGGTGCAGGTGGCGTGGGGGCGAGGGGGGGGACGCGTAGAGGTCGCCAAAGGCGTGTGCCTCCATGCTCACACCACGAGCCAGGCGGACGGGTGCGCGGATAGGGATAGGCGCAGGCGCCCCAGCAGCAAGGCCCCCTGCCACTCCTGCTACTCCGTACGCATTGCCTGCTGCCAACACAGCGTGGCCTTGCCCTGCTACCCCATACTCCTCCTCTCCTTCACCCTCCGCCTCCCCCAAAGCCCCCCCCCTTTGCTGCTGCTGCAGGTGGCGGGCGAGCGAGGCGCCCAGCGACATAGCATGCGACAGAGGCCGCCTCATGCCAGCACCCTCTCTTTCGCCCCACATGCCTGCCCGCCCACCCTCCACCCACCCCTGCCACTCCGCCCCCATTCCCCCCAAGCCAACATTCCCGCCCTCCCCCACCTCCCCCTGCCCTCCCGCCCACTCATACGCCAGGCCCCGTGTGCCCTCTGCGCCCATCTCCTCCTCACCGTCCCAGATACCCTTGCCCCCCCCGAATCGCCTGCTGGCGCTCTCGCGTTCCCCCTCTCCATTGCGCTCCTCGCCTCGCGCGTCCTCACTGCGCCCCGACCCGGCTGCCGGCGGGTTGAGCGGGGGAAACAAAAACACGGGGAGGGGCAGAAACAGGGGGGAAGGATGGGGGCGGGAAAAGGGGTGGGGATGGAGGTTAGGGTGGAAGGGGGGGCGACGAGGACAAGAAGCGGGTGTGGGGGCATGGCAGCAGCGGGGCGGGGCCGGCAGCGGGTTACCAGCGGAGCCCGTCACGCCGCTCTTGCTCCGCGCCTGCCGCTCGCCGCCGTTCTGCTCGGCCCGCCCCGACGTCTGCTCCGCCTGCATCTCGCGCGACTTGGCTCGCCGCCTGCGCGACTTGGGGCTGCCAGAATCCTCCATCGATGGGCTACGCTCCTCGTGTGACTGTAACGAGCGGATCGATGAATATGGGTTATCTTCTGGTTCGGTGTCTGGCGCGACCTGGCTTATCTTGGCCTTGCGTCCAAGAATTGCCATTCGCGCCCTCCACGAGCGCCTTGCGCACCCCACGCACCCGGCCCAGCCACCCCTCGAGCCTCGGCGCGGTGGGCGCGCAGCAGCATGGGCCTTTCTTCGCGCCTCGGCTGCTGGTGTTCTTGCTCACTCAACAGCTGGCAGGGCCGTCACTAATGCGGCACGTGCTCCGCGTAGGCGGAAGTAATCGGAAGCTCTCTGGTGTTTGACCACACATTGCGTGGCCAACAGCATGGCGACCACTTTGCAGACTGTCAGTTGATTCACGCACCAGCATATCTATTTTGGTGGGACTACTGTCCGTACGACCATTGCGGCATGTGTGTGTGCTGCCATCCCAGCCACGAGCCATAGGGTAGGTCGCGCACCATGCGTGGGTGGCTGGGAGGGCCTGTAGTGTTAGAGTGGTAACACGACAAGGCAGGGAACCCAGACGACATTCCGAAACGAAACCGACGAACCGAAAAAGCGAATCGACACACCGTACTCAGGCCCATCCGGGCAACAGGCCCCTCGAGCCGCGCGGGTAGTTGTGGTGGGGGAAGAGTGTGGGGGGCGCTAGTCCCGTATCCAACCAAATCGACCGTGTAACCTGCCGTAACACCTTCACTGTTTTGGGTTGAACTCAATGATTCAGCAATGTTGAAAATGCAACTGCAATATTACATCAATGTAATGCAAGCCAACAACCAATTCAACTATAAGGCTACACAATTATCTTAAGTCCCTGCCCCCCACCCCCCTCCTCTCGTCCCAAAGTACTGCCAAGCCAAGCCAAGGCCCGTGTTGTGGACAGCTATGTCAGACTCCTCCATCGAGAGTGTTGGGCTGAGAATAGCCGTAAGTCATTTTATCATTTCCAGCAAAGGAGCAAGCGTGCACTACGAGCTACCCGTGTTCAGGTGTGCCGTGAATTGCTGGGGCGAATGAAGCCAAGGTACTACCTTCTATGGCTTGTTGCCCCCACCAGTCATCTCCTCCGACTGTGGGCCAGGAGCAGGGGGGAGGCGCGTGGAGGGTGTGAGGGGAAAGGCGGTGATGGGAGAGGAGTGGGAGTAGGGGCGGATTTGTGAGGTGTAGTAGAAGTAGCCGGAGATGGAGAGGCCCACGGCGAGCATGGAGAGCAGCACGGCGTTCTCCCTGCGCTCCTGCTGCCGCTTCTCCACCATGCGCGCCGCCACCGACTGCGATGCCGTCGCCTTCGCCGTTCCACACAGGTGACTCTAGAGAGGGATGGGGGGGTGTGGAGCGTAACTCGGTTTCACGACACACGGTTAAACTGCGACGGTCAAAACAGCGAGCCACATGACACTGCATGTATCCTCCGCCCACTCCGTGTGGCTCGCCCTACGTGCTAGTGATGTGGACGATGCCGGTGGACGGGTGGCCCTCGCCGCCTCTGCGCCTGCATGCGCACACGGGTGTTTCGTGTGTGCGCTGTGCGCAACGTGCGCGTTTGAGACATGGGACAAGTGACGGGAGTGGGGAGAGGAAGAGGGGGGGATGGGGCTGGAGAGAGGGCAGGGAGGTACGACAGACCTGATGCAGCGGGCGGGTGCCATCGAACGGTGAGAGGTCGCGAGGTGTGGAGGAGTGTGGGAGAGTAGGTCTACATAGCGGCGAAGACGCTGGGCGGACTCGGCGGGAGTGGAGGAGTGCTCGGCGGATGGCGGCAGACATGGCGCCTGGACCCGCGAGACGGGTTCAGGGAACGAGACAAGGATCGAACGGAGGGGCCGAGGATTCGGAAAGTTGGAAGTGGTGGCGAGGCTCTATGAGTGTTGAGAGTTTTATTAGGGGTGACTACAACAAGGTAAGGCTTTGGGATAGGGGAAGCAAGAGTGACTGCTGGTGGACATGGGAAATCTCGCAATGTCCAGTGAGATTGAAGACGATCCCGCATACTAGTACAACTCGACACGGTGGTTAGGGCGTGTGACTTTTTGCAAATTTGTCTGAAGTTCTTACCCTCACCACTCTGTGCCGCGGTTCTAACCGTCTGCAATGTTATGATTCATGAACCTGAACTGCCGAGTAGCGCGGAGGGCAATGGCGAACCTGTGAACGAGTGAATGACAATTAAATGAAAGACAATACAATATATAGGAAACCTAGGGCGATCCTAGACGTAGGATCGGAAGGTTCGGGAAAAGTGTCGAAGGGCCTGGATGTGTCGAAGCGAGGTCCGGAAAGGCCCAGGAGGCTCGTGTTAAGACTAGAATGAATAGCTAGGCAGGAGGAGAGGAGCCATTGACGTGGCGAGAGGTTTTAGGCTAGAGGAAATATCGAGAGAGAAGAGAGTTGGACTGGAAGAGAAGGAGATACAAGAAGGGGGATAGTCCTCTATACAGTAGGATTCAGTAAGTAGCATAACCAAGCCTACAATTATATATAAAAATATATAATTTAACACATCCCCTAGGCTTGGTAGTGGCAAGCCCATCCCATCCCCAGCACCCCCACATCCTTGCACCCCTATTCCTTGCAGCAGCAGTGGCGTCGACCAGCCGGTCGACCCCTCGGCGATCGAGGTGGCGACGTCGACGGCGGGTCGCAGCAGCGTCGGCGACTGCGGGTGTGCAGCACTAGCGGCGGCGGCAGCGGCGTCGAGGCACCTGGCGACAGCGGTTGCGGCACCCGAGGCAACGGCGGCGTGGCTCAACTTGAGACGACGAGAGGGAGGACGGCACGAGGTCGCCAGCAGCCTGAAGCAGAGGTGACTGCAGGGAAGGAAGGCGCTAGGCATCCTTGAGCTGCGGCGGGGCGGAGCCGGCTGGCGTGGCGAGCTGGGGCCGACGCTGCGAGCTGGGACCGACACGGCGAGCTGGGTCCGACGCAGTGTGCTGGGTCCGACGAGGCGAGCAAGGTCCGACACGACGAGCTGGGAGGCGCGGGGAGCTGGAGAGCGGGGGCGTGCTGCCTGGTGCCTAAACCAGTGCGCGACCCACTGCCGCCCGTGCGCTGACGTCGACGACGCCGTCACGCCGCCACGTCTCGACGTCGACGATGCCGCCACAGCATGACCTCGACGCCACAACGGCGCGACGCCACGGCAACGCGTCGAGACGGCCGCGACAAGGCTGTCACGGCAGCACGACAAAGCCACCATGGCAGCACGACATGGCCGCCACGGCGGCGCGGAAGTAACGAGAAGGGGGGGGGGGGGGTACGCGACGGAAGCGTGAGGAGGCTGCCCAGCAGGGCGGACCGCCGGCTCTGAAACCATGTTAAGACTAGAATGAAGGAGAGGAGGAGACATTGAAGTGGCGAGGGGTTTTAGGCTAGAGGAAATATCGAGAGAGAAGAGAGTTGGACTAGAAGAGAAGGACATACAAGAAGGGGGGTAGTCCCCTCTACAGTAGGATTTAGTAAGTAGCATAACCAAGCCTATAACTATATATAAAAATATATAATTTAACAGTTCGAATTGAAAGGTCTGGAACCCTATCGCTGGTTCGGGACTGTTCGAGTCGTACGCACTGTAGCAAGTCTCGGTAAGGAATAACTAATTCCTTACATAAAACCTACCACAATTGTCCTTTATGTTCAAGTGAAAAGAATATCTTAAACACGGCATACAAGGGTATATAACCCAATGGGTTGTACTCCCTAAGGCACAACCCTATATAGTCTACAAAAACTTATAATATATCTTTGACACACCCCCTAGACTGGATAGGGGCAGTGCCCGATGAGAGAGAAACAGCTCAGGGTGGCACTACTAGTCTAGCCACTAAGGCAGGGGTCTAAAGACCAGTCAAACAAGTACAGACAAGGAAAGAGCAAGACCAGGGTGGCACTACTAGTCCATCCACTGGAAAGAGGCCACAAGGCCAGCCAGGGTAATATCTACAAAGGTCTGTACACAATCAAGGTCCTAGCAAATGAGAGGCTACAGGAACGAGACCTAGCTGTACACAGTGCCGCTGATGATCTCTAGGCGCAAGCGCCTTAGTACAGATATAAGCTGTGTTGGCACCTGAGGCCAAGTGTACTACACGAGCCTGGCGACGCTGCTGTAGCTCGCGCAGGAGGAAGTACCGCAACTGGATGTGCTTCGCTCTGCCCTCAAGTCGTGGCTCCTGACACCGGAGGATCATGGCCTTGTTGTCAGCGTACAGAACCGGGGCAAAGCTAGGCCGCTCACCCAAGTCAGTGAGCAAGAAGGTCAGCCAGCGGAGCTCCTGTGCCGCCATAGCACCTGCGTAGATCTCAGCCTCACAGCTAGACTGGGCAACAGACGAGGAACGGGTGGACCTCCACGAGATGGCACCCGAACCAAGGCCAAAGGAGTAGCCCTGTGAGGACCTGAGAGTCTCGGCATCGTCTGCCCAAGAAGCGTCTATGTGCCCTGTAAGGACCACTGGTTTCCGTCCTCCTAGCACTAGCCCCATGCTCGATGTACTTGTTAGATAACACAAAACCCTCTTAGCTGCCGACCAATGCTATGGTCGGTGTCTGCCTGGGGCCACAAAGCGAGCCAGGATGCTGAGAGGGCATGTGAGATCTGGACGAGTGCAAGTCATCAGGTACATGAGGCAACCCACCAGCTCTGCGTAGGGACCACTAGGCTCTACAGCCTTTTCAGGGACTGGGGCAGAGAGTCTGTGGTCTACTGACAGAGGGGTGGGCTGTGCGGAAGAGAAATGAAGGCCGAACATCTGAAGGACCTTGCGCACCAAGTGTGACTGTGAGAGAGTGATGGTGCGCGCTGCTCTGTCCCTGGAGATCTGCAAGCAAAGGTAGCGGCACAGCTCTCCTAGGTCAGTGTAGTGTCTCCTCAGCAGCTCGGCCTTCACGGTGGCCAGTGCGTCTCAGTCTGCAGTAGCAAAGACCAGATCGTCTACGTAGACAAGGATGTAGAACGGAGTCTGGCCAGAACGAACAAAGAGCGAGGGGTCTGCAGACGAAGGGAAGAACTGCAAGTCAGCAACTGTAGCACGCAGCGTGTCGTGCCACTCACGGGGCGCCTGTCGCAAGCCGTAGACAGGGTGCCGGAGGAGCCACTCGGTGCCAGGGGGGAAGGTACTAGAGAAGCCTTGGGGGCAGCGCAGGTAGACCTATTCGTGTAGACTGCCCTGGAGGAAAGGTGTGGAGAAGTCGAGGGAGTGCAGCTCGTATTCACGCTGTGCTGGTACGTGTAGCAGTGCCCGAAGAGAGGTCATCTTCGGGGTTGGGGCGAAGGTCTGAAAGAAATCCACCCCCTCACACTGATTGAAGCTTCGAGCAATGCAGCGCGCCTTGAAGACAGGCGGCTCTCCAGGGGGGCGCTTCACCTTGAAGAGCCACCAGCCATCGACTATGTTCACCCCAAATGGGGGAACTGCGTCAACGAAGGTACCGGTGGATGTCCAAGATGCCATCTCCTACTCCATGGTAGCTATCCACTGAGAGGCCCAGGGTCCCGAGGTGGCCTCAGCGTAGGTGCGAGGGGTCGGGATGTCGAAGGCGTCTGGGTCACCCTCAGGGACTAGCAGCATGGAACAGAGATGGGGAGCGGCCTCATATAGGAAAGTGAGCTCGAACTGCCTGTCCTGTAGGACGTCACTGCCAAGAGCAGCCACACCCCTGACGGTCGGAGGGCAGGCAGGGTCAGAGACCAGAGCGGTGGCGTAGTCAAGGCGGCAGGTAGCGGGGAAGTCATTGACAGCAGCGACAAGAGCCGACAGACTCAAGACAGGAACGGACGGGTCAGTAACGAGAGAGGCAAGGACACGAGGAACAAGGGGACGCGCAGCACGGAGGAAGTCCGAGAACGGAGGCAGGGCCACAGCAAGCGACAACTGAGGAGGAGACGAGAGGAGAGGAGGAGCACGAGACGCGTGAGAGCACAACAATATAGGGTGAGAACGTGGAAAAGGGAAGGTAGGACGAGCACGAGACGGACGACGAGACCAGAGGTGAGATGGAGGAGTTGGGTCAGGAGAGAGGGGAGGAGAACGGGGAGGAAAACGAGATGGAGAGGAGTCCGGGGGAGGAAACACGGGGCCGTGGACCGGCAGAGGAGGAGGCTGCCGCAGCGGGGGAGGCAGCAATGGTCGATCAGGGGAAGGGAGACCGAGGAGGCGAAGAGTGGACACTGGCGGCGACAGCTGTGACTGCTGCTCACTCCAACACCAAAATCTCCAGGGACAACACGACTCCCTCCAAGAAGCCCCACACAAGCACCTCCAGAGGTCGCTCCAGAACCAGCTCCAGCCCGCTCCCCAGCACCCCCAGAACGCATGAACCCCAGCGGCGGTGACGATAGTGGCTGCGGCTGCGAAGGCGGTGGCGAAGGCGGTTGCGGCGGGGACAAAAGCGGCGACGACATGGGAGGTGAGACCTGGGCAGGGACACGCGGGGGAAGAGACTCCGTCGGGTCGCGAGAGTCAGCGGACTCCTCAGCAGGGACAACCGACGGGAGGGGGATGACGTGAACCACACCAGACGGGGCAGGGCGGGGAGGGGGGTGGACAGGTTCGACCGAGGGAGGGGGGGCACCAGGAACTGGGGGGGAGTGACCGGGGGACCACGGTAGGGAAAGCGGTCATAGAAGGAGACAGGCTCGTCAAAAGTAGACGGACTCGTCAAAAGTGACGTCACGAGAGTGAAAGAACCAGTAGAATTGCCAGTTCGACGAGTTGAGGGGGAAACCTAGGAAGACACATGGGACAGTGCGGTCAGTGAGCTTGTCTAGGCCAGAGGCACGAACGTGTGAAACGTAGCCCCAGACGTGGAACACAGACGCGTCACCAGGGGACCCGGTCCAGAGGAGGGTCGGCAAAACCTGCGACCGCTGAGGGTGCGGCCAGAGGTTAAGCTGGTGAGCGGCATAGCGAACAACGAACGGCCATAGAA